GCAATTCCCTACCTCCATAAAAATTATCATATACAATATTTGAAATTTTTATGTGGGTTGCTGTTAATTGTATTTGGTTTTCAAAAATTGGATTAAATGGAAAAACTAGTAAAACCCAATAAAGTAATGTGATCCAATTGGGCATATATTTTATCTCAGTTTTATATGGTGTGATATGAATAGGTGTAGGACCTAAAAATAAAAGTGAGGTACTTGATGGGAGTGCCCAAAAGATTATTATAATGAGTTAGATTCCTTCTCCCATTCAAAAAAACCCTACCTCTATAAATGGTAGAGTTAGGGAGTTGCATGACCTATCGGTTGTCACTATACAGATTAGAGAGAGAAACACCTAAATCCCAATACTAACTATATTTGATTTTGTAAGTTTTGTTATGAAATCTCTAATTATAATGATTCTTAAATATCCTTAAAGGTTCAAGTACGTAATGCATTTATTTTATTAGTTTTTGGCATCCTAAGTTTTACTTATGTCGATCCTTAAAAATTCTGATATGTGGTATCAGAGCAGGTTATATATAGATTTAGGATCAAAGTCTTTTATTTTTTAATATGGTTTCCAAGCTAATTTGATGAACCGATTAAGATTTTTTATCTTGATATTATACGCTTAGCTTTTATAATTAAGATTAAAATAGAGGTTATGTAATTGAATAGTCAAGACTTTAAAAGATATAAAACATATCTGTAAATCCGTTTATACAAGTCGAAGTTTGTGTTTAGAGCCTTGACTTTGACTAATTTATAAAAGCTCAAGAAATTTACATTTGTCTTAATTGGATTTTATGTGTCTCTAATTAAATCTATTGATTTTGGAGACTGGAGAGTGGTTCATGGGTTAAGAAATTACAGAAAACAGGTCATAAAACCTATTGCAGGTCTACGATTTTGCAAAGATTTGATTTCCCTTTGTTTTAATCTCTTACTAATGGCTTGTATAAGTAGGTGCGTAACATCTCCCTAATAAATAAAATTGGGTTTTGTAATCCCAATTTGAATAAGAGCAAAAGAGTAGTTCGGGGGCGGAATCCCAATTTGTTAAGATTTCTAGCTACATAAATAAATAAATAAAGGGAAAGCTAAAACGCAGAAGGTAAGGGCCATGAGAAACTATTGTGGCAGGGATGATTAATGATAATGGGAAAATTGTTATTTGATCCCTGAGTAATTTTGCTTAGTGCAAATCTGTCCCTAATGGTCTAATAAGGCTACAAATTAATGTTTAGATATTAAATTTAAGATTAGTCACTACTTACTCCTTTTCTCTTTTTCATGTTTAAAATAATTTCCATGAATAACTATGTGATATGGAGGTGAATTTAGTTGAATTCTTTTGGATTTATGAGTTTACGTTACAATATTCTTTTGTTATTTAATGCCTTATTTGAATTAACCAATTTTAAAAAGTGAAAAAAAAAAAAAAAGGTTTAGGATTTGGAACCCTAATGGGAAGTGAAGAAAAGAAGTTGGCTAAGATTGGGTATCCCAATCTGTTAGGGAGTTCAACTAAGTTAAAAGGAAATGTAAATAGAAGTTGAAGGACCAGTATTATTATTTTACCATTCTTAAAAATTGCATAATAATCCAAAAGTCTGAACACGGACTTGTTTTTTCCGCAATGGGTGAATGTGTCGACACATAACCAGTTGGAAGTTATTGTGCAGATCTGACACAATGTAAGGGTGTCGACACTTACATAATTTGTAGCAATTAAGCATTGGATGGTTTTAAACCTTTTGATATTGTGTATTAAAATTTATACATAATGTATCAGATTCTATGTGAAGAATATCTATTAATATAATCTTATTGTAGATTATATGTGCATAAAGAATATTTATTATGTGGTTTGATTTTATAAAATCAATATAATTATTTACATAATAAATATATATAAATTTATTTCATCTAAATTAAAATAAATATTAAGTGTAACATATAAAATATGTGTCAATATTTGGAGGTTAAAGATATTTGGTTAGTGGCAAATGAATTATTAATAAGATATGTTTTTCATGTCTTTCATGTTTTTGGTTTAAAATAATTTTGTGAATGTTGTTATACATATGATATATGCTTTTTGGAGATTAAATTTCAGGATTTTGTTAAAGCAATTAGTCACAATTGGACGTATATGACTTTATATACCCATTATTTATATAATGTAATATCCTTGGATTAAAGTTCTTGAAATTGGTTGTACTATTCATTTGCAAAGTTTTTAAATTTGACTATTAATAAAAAATTTATGATCATAGATAAAGAAGTAGATAATTGTGAAACTTTATTTTTCATTAAAGATTACTTATCTTCATATGTGGTTTAGCATATGGGTTTCCTAGCACTGTGTTTTCTAATAAGGAAATAAAGTGTCCATATTTGGACGTAAAAAATATATTTACAGTTGCTAATAAACTATTTATACAAATTAATTATGCATTTGGAGAAAGTATAATTGTTATTTTTCTACTAATTTTATGGAAGTTAAGAAAATTTTCAGAGAATATGTATTAAAGGTGCACCAACGATTGTTGAAAATTACAGTTTCAAAAATTCCTTAAGTTGTATCAAGACAAATTACAAAGGTACAACCATGCAATGTAACTGAGTATGATTTTACTCATATTGATATTTTATTTAATATAAGGTTATTTGTTTTTATATGTGGGTTCTAGCATATGAATTTTATAAAGAGGTTTTGTGAAATTAAAGTTTGAGTATATCTCATGACACATAATTTAAAGCTAAATTGTTGGTTTTATAATAGATTTTGTTAGTAATTAATTACCTTCAAGAAATAATTATTTGTCTATTATGTATATTGTTGATAAGGTAATTGTGGTAATGCATGAAAATTTTAAAATCTCTAAGAAAAGATATTT